ATTGAGGGGTGCGAAGACAAATCTCATTAGTTTACTGAAGAAATTTGGAAGTGGCTTCAAGTCATAAAACCAACTTGGTATGTCTACTACCTACAATAAAGCTTGTTAATTTCTGGGCCTCATCTGTTAGAGGTACTTGATGGTAGACGCAAGAGAAATCACTACTTGTGAAGTATGATCCGTTTATTCTGGTCATGAGAACTTGTCGTGGTTCTAATGGCCAACTAAAATTGCTAGTATCTGTGATTGAGTTTAGATACCTAGCATCCAAGACCAACTTAACGTAGTCTTTTTTGGAAGAATGATGACTGGGTTTACGAACCATGAGTTCATATCATCTTTTTCATTTAGTTCTCTGACTATGCCTGCTTGGATTAGTTCATCTATCACTTTGTCCAATTTATCTCTTAGATGGACTGGGATTTTACTAGGTCGTTGCTTTTTGAACGTTGCGTCCTTTTTGAGTGGTATATGGATTTTATGCTTCGTTTTTCCAATATCAGATTTGTGATGGGAATAAACATCCTGATCCTCTATCAGCATCTGAATAAGATCTACAAATTCATCATCCGATATATCACTTTCTGTGAAATTGAAATCAGATAAAAATTTGAGAGTAGTTTCAATTTTTTCCATAGTACTCTTTTTATCTTTATCAATTGAGGAGTATTGGGTAAACGTTTCAGAAAGGCTAGAAAGGCAAGTAGAAAGGCAATTAGCCAATCATTATGTTCTTTGTTTTGTTAGTTTTTAACTTTTTCTTCTAGGGGAGGCCTGCAAAAGTTCTTTGCATCATGTGAAAAATCGGTTGCTATTTCGTTTTCATTTTTGCATACTTTGACTATATCTGAACCAATTTGTTCAAATATTTCTCGCCAGGCATTTCCTTGATTTCTTGTCATGAAGCTTAGACAAATATAGTAATTCAAGAATGTTGGAATACATCGACAGTGATTTTGGAAAATTCCTACCAATTCATTTTATCTAAGCCACATACAATTTCGGGCATTACAATAAATCAAATTTTATTTGCTATAGCATGATCTTTCATTTGGGACAAAGTGTTGAATATAGCGTCGTTAGTGGGTTTCTGAAAGTTTTTCTGTTTGGTAATGAGGTTATAAATGATTTGTCCAGGTTTTGAATCAGTGAAGATGAGAATATCTTTAATGTTAGCATGTATTGAGTTACAAAAGTGTCGTAACTCAGGATACCTTTTGCAAATTGATTCAGCAAACCTTTTTTTCATTGCTCTATCTAGAGATTGTACGGGCAGTGGGCATATTCGATACAAGTATGGACCTTTTTTGGGTCCATATTGTAGACAGGGGCCGGATAATTGTGTGTTGCTTTCCTGTGTAGTATTGACAACAGTGTTTAGCATGAAACAGCTATCGAATTCCGAATTTTCGTTTAAAATTCTCGTTGTGACCTAAATTTTCCAATTCATGATACGTTGGGTAGTTCATAATACTACAAGTTGATCCTGGGTCAATCACGAATTCAATTTCAAATTCATTATTATTATTTTTGTCTCCGGTGGCAAAATGATACAAGCTAAGATATATCCTTGATTTAGGATTAATATCATCGCTTGGTTTCGGAGACTTTAAAAGTTTAAAGGAAAGAAATCAGAGATCGCATCACAGTAATTGACTTCTTCCTCAACCCAGTGGGTAGTTTCAGACTGTATTTGATTCGACCTAAAATTTGGTGATTGAGATCGCGTTGAGTCTCGACTGTTATTGTTATTATAGCTTCCAGTGTTATAATGTCGACCTCTAGGGTTACTTTTGAATTGCCTATTTTCTTGGTCGTAGAACTGTTTAGCAATTTGTTCTATTTCTCTGATTTTGTTTTCTCTAGGATACCTATCATCATAGGTTTGGGGCCTCTTGGCATTGAAAGACGATCGTGTATTAGCCTTTTGGAAATTGTTTCCATTGTAGTTATAATTATGGCAAATGCCATAGTTATTTTGGCTAGGATTTGAATTTTTAGTAGTTCTGATTTGGTTATCCCAAAACCGGTTGCTTGGGTTAGGGTTATTCTGGTTAGGGAAGTTATTCGGTCTTCGATTTCGTTTATAATAGGTTTCAAATGAAACTCTTCGTTCATTTTTTATTGTGAGCTCTTTTTGCAAATTATTCTCTTCGTCCTGAACTTGCTTTTTTAAACATCTAGATATGGAATGTCCATTCATTCTGCAATATTCGCAAAATCGTGTACTTATAGTTCTTCCCTTGAAGTCAGGGTGACGTCGTTGAAAAGAATTCTGATCATTGATTGCACTAAATTCTTGATTCTTGATCAATTTGGTTAGTTCTTTAATTTGAGTTTCTAATGAAGTCATTTTATCCGTTGTTGATTTATTAGCAGGATCAGTACCAACAATGAATGTTAGATCCTTAGTGATTACATGATTTGTAAATTGATCCCAATTCGAGTTTGGATGCTCTATCATGTATTCATGAGCTTTTTGTTTAAGGTCTAGAGGTCTTAGTCCCTTAATCGAGAAATCAATATACTTTTGACTCCTTTGTCTGGTCTGAATATTCCTTTCAGCAGTTTGAGCGGCTTCATCAGCGTGGACTGTTACATCAATACTTTCGGGCCATCCTCTATCTACAGAAGATTTGATTCTGTGGAAGTAATTTTTTATTAATTCGCCATCTTGCGAGCTGCATTTTGAGCATCAATTCTATGTTTGAATTGATCTCGTCCGTCAGTGAATCTTTTTAGCAAGAGATCTTTGAGTTGTGCCCATGTGGTAGCATTGGTTACATTATCATTGAACCATTCAAGAGATGTATCAGTTAACAATGATCCGAATAGGGATCGTTGTCTGCTATCATAGCTGCGTCGTGCATCATTATCAGCAGGTCTTTGACCTAATGAGAAAAGAATTTTGTTTATAACTGAGTTCCAAAAAGCTGTTGCATTTTGGTTCGGGTCGTTTCTCGAAAATGTCACTAAAGACAAGTTGGGATGGGATATTGGTGTATCAGCCATATATATTTAGCTTAAAACTTAAAAGAAGAAAGATAGAACACATTTCGAATTTTCTTAGAAAACTTAAATTTCCGATTTGCAAATTTATTATTTCTCTTTATTTGTAAGAGAAATTCAACAATTCTCTAGTTTGAGAATTGGACTCTTTGCTTTTTATCTCTTTTTGAGACTTTAGCAATTTTTGCGAATTTTTAGAAGATGAGCCTCACTGGTCGCACCAATTTATTACGCTAGCAATACTATGTACGTCGGACAAAACGCTTGCTAGGAATAAAGGGTCCTTTCAATTTTCTATCTTAGAAAGTAAATCTAAAATTCGCTGAAAATTTTTTTATTAGAAAAAGAGATAGTATGGATTTACTGCAAGTTGCCTTTTGACTCAATATTTATTTTAAGGGTGAGGTTATAAATATTTTCACTGAGAATGGAGAGTATTTTATAGCGAATGATTGGGGTGGTTGAAGAGAGAGTGGTGTTGGTATTTTTTCGAGAATTTGTTGGAATGAATGCCCGTAGTTTTTAGCTTCTATTTATACTCAGATGGGAAATCTCCCTTTTTTCTGTATCAAATGAGAAGTTACTTCTTAACTTCGTATTCTCTATTCGTGCATTGGTATTTTACGAGAAGAATGTTTCGTATGCTCGTATTTTACGAGAGGAATCGTTATTATTCGCATTGAACGAGAATAGTCGTTTTGTTTCTCAATGCTTAAAACGTTAATCGAATTATTCCAATTGCATTTCCCTTCCTTTTGCAAAGGGATAAAAACATATTTATTTTGTGGTGGCGGCGGCGTCACACTTTGTGAGCACAATTAAATAATTCATGTTTCTGTTTCAATTTGAAATCAGAACATGTTGCTGGATAAGTTGATAGTGATGGTGATGGTGATGGTGATGGTGATGGTGATGGTGTTGGATAAGAAGATAGTGATGTTGATGGTGATGGTGATGCTGATGGTTATGGTGCTGGTGATGTTGATGGTGATGGTGATGGTGTTGGACAAAATGATAGTCATGGTGACATGATGATGATGGTGATGGGGTTGGATAAGGTGATAGTGATGGTGATGGTGATATTTTTGGTGGTGGCGGTGATGGTGATGATGTTGGTGTTGGTGATGTTTATTGTAATGGTGATGGTGTTGGATAAAGTGATAGTGATGGTGATGGTGATGATGAGGGTGATGGTGATGCTGATAGTGTTGATGATGATGATGGTTGTGGATAAGGTGATGGTTATGGTGATTATGATGGTGATAGTTATGGTGGTAATGATGGTGAGTTTGAAGATTATGGTGTTGGTTAAGGTTGTAGTGATGGTGATTATAATGGTGATGGTGATGGTGTTGGATAAGAAGATAGTGATGGCGATGATTATGTTGATGGTGTTGGATAAGGTGATTGTGATGGTGATGTTGCTGGATAAGTTGATAGTGAAGGTGACGGTGATGGTGATTGTGTTGGATAAGAAGATGGTGATGGTGATGGTTATGGTGATGGTGATGTTGATGGTGATGGTGATGGTGTTGGACAAGGTGATAGTCATGGTGACATGATGATGATGGTGATGGGGTTGGATAAGGTGATAGTGATGGTGATGGTGATTATTATGGTGGTGGTGATGGTGATGATGTTGGTGATAGTGATGTTTATGGTAATGGTGATGGTGTTGGATAAGGTGATAGTGATGGTGATGGTGATGTTGAAGGTGATCGTGACGGGGTTGCATAAGGTGATGGTGATGGTGATGGTAAGTGTGATGCTGATGCTGATAGTGATGATGATGGTGATGGTGTTGGATAAGATGATAATGATGGTGATGGTGATTTTGATTATGTTGGTGATGGTGATGTTGATGTTGTTGAGGATGGTGATAGCGATGGAAAAAGTGATGATGAGTGTGATGGTGATGCTGACATTGATGATGATGGTGATTGTGTTGGTGATGGTGATGCTGATGATGATGGTGATGGTCATGATGATGGTTATTTTGGTGGTGATGGTGATGATGTTGTTGGCGGTGACTTTGATATTGTTGGGGATAGTGATAGCCATGGTGATGGTGATGGTGATGATGAGTGTGATGAAGAAGGTGATAGGGATGATGATGGTGATGGTGTTATATAGGTGATGGCGATGGTGATGGTGATGGTGATGGTGGTGGTGATGGTGATGGTGCTGGATAAGATGATAGTGATAAGATGATGGTGTTCAATAAAATGATAGATGATGGTGATGGTGATGGTGATAGTTATGGTGGTAGTGATGGTGATGATGTTGGTGATGGTGATGTTGATGGTGATGGTGTTGGATAAGGTGGTAGTGATGTTGATGGTGATGATTATGGTGGTGGTGATGGTGATAATGTTGGTGATGGTGATGTTTTTGATAATGGTGATGGTATTGGATAAGGTGATAGTGATGGTGATGGTGATGTTGATGGTGATCGTGATGGGGTTGCACAAAGTGATGGTGATTGTGGTGATGATGGTGATGGTGATGGTATTGGCTAAGGTGATAATGATGGTGATGGTGATAGTGATGGTGCGTGTGATGGTGATGCTGATAGTGATGATGATGGTGATGGTGCTGGATAGGGTGATAATGATGTTGATGGTGATGGTGATTATGTTGATGATGGTGATGTTGATGCTGTTGGGTAAAGTGATAGTGATGGTCAGGATGATAGTTATGGCGGTGTTGATGGTGATGATGTCGGTGGCGGTGACTTTGATATTATTCGGGATGGTGATAGCCATGGTGATGGTGATTGTGATGATGAGAGTGATGAAGAATGTGATAGTGATGATGATGGTGATATTGATATTTAGGTGAAGGCGATGGTGATTGTGATGGTGATGGTGATGGTGCTGGATAAGATGATAGTGATAAGATGATGGTGTTCAATAAGATGATAGATGATGTTGATGGTGATGGTGATAGTTATGATGGTAGTGATGTTGATGATGTTGGTGATGGTGATGTTGATGGCGATGGTGTTGGATAAGTTGATAATGATGGTGGTGGTGATGGTAATTATGTTGGTGATGGTGATGTTGATGTTGATGAGGATGGTGATAGCGATGGAGATAGTGATGATGAGTATGATGGTGATGCTGACAGTGATGATGATGGTGATGTTGTTGGTGATGGTGATGTTGTTGATGATGGTGATAGTAATGGTGTTGGGTAAAGTGATAGTGATGGTCAGGATGATGGTTATGGAGGTGTTGATGGTGATGATATTGGTGACGGTGACTTTGATATTATTGGGGATGGTGATAGCCATGGTGATGGTGATGATGATGATGATAGTGATGAAGAATGTGATAGTGATGATGATGGTGATGGTGTTATTTAGGTGATGGCGATGGTGATGGTGATGGTGATGGTGATGGTGCTGGATAAGATGATAGTGATAAGATGATGGTGTTCGTTAAGATGATAGATGATTGTGATGGTGATGATGATAGTTATGGTGGTAGTGATGGTGATGATGATGGTGATGGTGATGTTGATGGCGATGGTGTTGGATAAGGTGATAATGATGGTGGTGGTGATGGTGATTATGTATGTGATGGTGATGTTGATGTTAATGAGGATGGTGATAGCGATGAAGATAGTGATGATGAGTGTGATGGTGATACTGACAGTGATTTGATGGTGATGATTTTGGTGATGGTCATGATGATGGTTATGGTGGTGGTGATGGTGACGATGTTGGTGGCGTTGATTTTGATATTGTTGGGGATGATGATAGCCATGGTGATGCTGATGGTGATGATGAGGGTGATGGCGATGGTGATGGTGATGGTGCTGGATAAGATGATAGTGATAAGATGATGGTGTTCGTTAAGATGATAGATGATGGTGATGGTGATGATGATAGTTATGGTGATGTTGATGGCAATGGTGTTGGATAAGGTGATAATGATGGTGGTGGTGATGGTGATTTTGTATGTGATGGTGATGTTGATGTTAATGAGGATGGTGATAGCGATGGAGATAGTGATGATGAGTGTGATGGTGATACTGACAGTGATTTGATGTTGATGATTTTGGTGATGGTCATGATGATGGTTATGGTGGTGGTGATGGTGATGATGTTGGTGGCGTTGATTTTGATATTGTTGGGTATGATGATAGCCATGGTGATGCTGATGGTGATGATGAGGGTGATGGCGATGGTGATGGTGATGGTGATGGTGATGGTGCTGGATAAGATGATAGTGATAAGATGATGGTGTTCGTTAAGATGATAGATGATGGTGATGGTGATGATGATAGTTATGGTGGTAGTGATGGCGATGATGATGGTGATGGTGATGTTGATGGCGATGGTGTTGGATAAGGTGATAATGATGGTGGTGGTGATGGTGATTATGTATGTGATGGTGATGTTGATGTTAATGAGGATGGTGATAGCGATGGAGATAGTGATGATGAGTGTGATGGTGATACTGACAGTGATTTGATGGTGATGATTTTGGTGATGGTCATGATGATGGTTATGGTGGTGGTGATGGTGATGATGTTGGTGGCGTTGATTTTGATATTGTTGGGGATGATGATAGCCATGGTGATGCTGATGGTGATGATGAGGGTGATGAAGAAGGTGATAGTGATGATTATAGTGATAGTGTTATATAGTTGATGGTGATATTGATGGTGTTGGTAATGGTGTTGGACAAGGTGATAATCATGGTGACATGATGATGATGGTGATGGGATTGGATAAGGTGATAGTGATGGTGATGATGAGGGTGATGGTGATGCTGATTGTGTTGATGATGATGATGGCTGTAGATAAGGTGATGGTGATGGTTAATGAGGATGTTTATGGTAATGATGAGTGTGATGGTGATACTGACAGTGATTTGATGGTGATGATTTTGGTGATGGTCATGATGATGGTTATGGTGGTGGTGATGGTGATGATGTTGGTGGCGTTGATTTTGATATTGTTGGGGATGATGATAGCCATGGTGATGCTGATGGTGATGATGAGGGTGATGGCGATGGTGATGGTGATGGTGCTGGATAAGATGATAGTGATAAGATGATGGTGTTCGTTAAGATGATAGATGATGGTGATGGTGATGATGATAGTTATGGTGGTAGTGATGGCGATGATGATGGTGATGGTGATGTTGATGGCGATGGTGTTGGATAAGGTGATAATGATGGTGGTGGTGATGGTGATTATGTATGGGATGGTGATGTTGATGTTAATGAGGATGGTGATAGCGATGGAGATAGTGATGATGAGTGTGATGGTGATACTGACAGTGATTTGATGGTGATGATTTTGGTGATGGTCATGATGATGGTTATGGTGGTGGTGATGGTGATGATGTTGGTGGCGTTGATTTTGATATTGTTGGGGATGATGATAGCCATGGTGATGCTGATGGTGATGATGAGGGTGATGGCGATGGTGATGGTGATGGTGATGGTGATGGTGCTGGATAAGATGATAGTGATAAGATGATGGTGTTCGTTAAGATGATAGATGATGGTGATGGTGATGATGATAGTTATGGTGGTAGTGATGGCGATGATGATGGTGATGGTGATGTTGATGGCGATGGTGTTGGATAAGGTGATAATGATGGTGGTGGTGATGGTGATTATGTATGTGATGGTGATGTTGATGTTAATGAGGATGGTGATAGCGATGGAGATAGTGATGATGAGTGTGATGGTGATACTGACAGTGATTTGATGGTGATGATTTTGGTGATGGTCATGATGATGGTTATGGTGGTGGTGATGGTGATGATGTTGGTGGCGTTGATTTTGATATTGTTGGGGATGATGATAGCCATGGTGATGCTGATGGTGATGATGAGGGTGATGAAGAAGGTGATAGTGATGATTATAGTGATAGTGTTATATAGTTGATGGTGATATTGATGGTGTTGGTAATGGTGTTGGACAAGGTGATAATCATGGTGACATGATGATGATGGTGATGGGATTGGATAAGGTGATAGTGATGGTGATGATGAGGGTGATGGTGATGCTGATTGTGTTGATGATGATGATGGCTGTGGATAAGGTGATGGTGATGGCGATGTTTATGGTAATGGTGATGGTGTTGGATACGGTGATAGTGATGGTGATGGTGATGGTGATGGTGATGATGAGAGTGATGAAGAATGTGATAGTGATGATGATGGTGATATTGATATTTAGGTGAAGGCGATGGTGATTGTGATGGTGATGGTGATGGTGATGGTGCTGGATAAGATGATAGTGATAAGATGATGGTGTTCAATAAGATGATAGATGATGGTGATGGTGATGGTGATAGTTATGATGGTAGTGATGTTGATGATATTGGTGATGGTGATGTTGATGGCGATGGTGTTGGATAAGGTGATAATGATGGTGGTGGTGATGGTAATTATGTTGGTGATGGTGATGTTGATGTTGATGAGGATGGTGATAGCGATGGAGATAGTGATGATGAGTATGATGGTGATGTTGTTGGTGATGGTGATGCTGATGATGATGGTGATAGTAATGGTGTTGGGTAAAGTGATAGTGATGGTCAGGATGATGGTTATGGAGGTGGTGATGGTGATGATATTGGTGACGGTGACTTTGATATTATTGGGGATGATGATAGCCATGGTGATGGTGATGGTGATGATGAGAGTGATGAAGAATGTGATAGTGATGATGATGGTGATATTGATATTTAGGTGAAGGCGATGGCGATGGCGATGGTGATGGTGATTGTGATGGTGCTGGATAAGATGATAGTGATAAGATGATGGTGTTCGTTACGATGATAGATGATGGTGATGGTGATGATGATAGTTATGGTGGTAGTGATGGTGATGATGATGGTGATGGTGATGTTGATGGCGATGGTGTTGGATAAGGTGATAATGATGGTGGTGGTGATGGTGATTATGTATGTGATGGTGATGTTGATGTTAATGAGGATGGTGATAGCGATGGAGATAGTGATGATGAGTGTGATGGTGATACTGACAGTGATTTGATGGTGATGATTTTGGTGATGGTCATGATGATGGTTATGGTGGTGGTGATGGTGATGATGTTGGTGGCGTTGATTTTGATATTGTTAGGGATGATGATAGCCATGGTGATGCTGATGGTGATGATGAGGGTGATGAAGAAGGTGATAGTGATGATTATAGTGATAGTGTTTTTAGTTGATGGTGATATTGATGGTGTTGGTAATGGTGTTGGACAAGGTGATAATCATGGTGACATGATGATGATGGTGATGGGATTGGATAAGGTGATAGTGATGGTGATGATGAGGGTGATGGTGATGCTGATTGTGTTGATGATGATGATGGCTGTGGATAAGGTGATGGTGATGGTGATGATGTTGGTGATGGCGATGTTTATGGTAATGGTGATGGTGTTGGATATGGTGATAGTGATGGTGATGGTGATGGTGATGGTGATGGTGATGGAGATGATGAGAGTGATGAAGAATGTGATAGTGATGATGATGGTGATATTGATATTTAGGTGAAGGCGATGGTGATTGTGATGGTGATGGTGATGGTGATGGTGATGGTGATGGTGCTGGATAAGATGATAGTGATAAGATGATGGTGTTCAAAAAGATGATAGATGATGGTGATGGTGATGGTGATAGTTATGATGGTAGTGATGTTGATGATGTTGGTGATGGTGATGTTGATGGCGATGGTGTTGGATAAGGTGATAATGATGGTGGTGGTGATGGTAATTATGTTGGTGATGGTGATGTTGATGTTGATGAGGATGGTGATAGCGATGGAGATAGTGATGATGAGTATGATGGTGATGCTGACAGTGATGATGATGGTGATGTTGTTGGTGATGGTGATGCTGATGATGATGGTGATAGTAATGGTGTTGGGTAAAGTGATAGTGATGGTCAGGATGATGGTTATGGAGGTGGTGATGGTGATGATATTGGTGACGGTGACTTTGATATTATTGGGGATGGTGATAGCCATGGTGATGGCGATGGTGATGATGAGAGTTATGAAGAATGTGATAGTGATGATGATGGTGATATTGATATTTAGGTGAAGGCGATGGCGATGGTGATGGTGATGGTGATGGTGATGGTGCTGGATAAGATGATAGTGATAAGATGATGGTGTTCGTTAAGATGATAGATGATGGTGATGGTGATGATGATAGTTATGGTGGTAGTGATGGTGATGATGATGGTGATGGTGATGTTGATGGCGATGGTGTTGGATAAGGTGATAATGATGGTGGTGGTGATGGTGATTATGTATGTGATGGTGATGTTGATGTTAATGAGGATGGTGATAGCGATGGAGATAGTGATGATGAGTGTGATGGTGATACTGACAGTGATTTGATGGTGATGATTTTGGTGATGGTCATGATGATGGTTATGGTGGTGGTGATGGTGATGATGTTGGTGGCGTTGATTTTGATATTGTTGGGGATGATGATAGCCATGGTGATGCTGATGGTGATGATGAGGGTGATGAAGAAGGTGATAGTGATGATTATAGTGATAGTGTTATATAGTTGATGGTGATTTTGATGGTGTTGGTAATGGTGTTGGACAAGGTGATAATCATGGTGACATGATGATGATGGTGATGGGATTGGATAAGGTGATAGTGATGGTGATGATGAGGGTGATGGTGATGCTGATTGTGTTGATGATGATGATGGCTGTGGATAAGGTGATGGTGATGGTGATGATGTTGGTGATGGCGATGTTTATGGTAATGGTGATGGTGTTGGATAAGGTGATAGTGATGGTGATGGTGATGGTGATGGTGATGATGAGAGTGATGAAGAATGTGATAGTGATGATGATGGTGATATTGATATTTAGGTGAAGGCGATGGTGATTGTGATGGTGATGGTGATGGTGATGGTGCTGGATAAGATGATAGTGATAAGATGATGGTGTTCAATAAGATGATAGATGATGGTGATGGTGATGGTGATTGTTATGATGGTAGTAATGTTGATGATGTTGGTGATGGTGATGTTGATGGCGATGGTGGTGGTGGTAATTATGTTGGTGATGGTGATGTTGATGTTGATGAGGATGGTGATAGCGATGGAGATAGTGATGATGAGTATGATGGTGATGCTGACAGTGATGATGATGGTGATGTTGTTGGTGATGGTGATGCTGATGATGATGGTGATAGTAATGGTGTTGGGTAAAGTGATAGTGATGGTCAGGATGATGGTTATGGAGGTGGTGATGGTGATGATATTGGTGACGGTGACTTTGATATTATTGGGGATGGTGATAGCCATGGTGATGGTGATGGTGATGATGAGAGTGATGAAGAATGTGATAGTGATGATGATGGTGATATTGATATTTAGGTGAAGGCGATGGCGATGGTGATGGTGATGGTGATGGTGCTGGATAAGATGATAGTGATAAGATGATGGTGTTCGTTAAGATGATAGATGATGGTGATGGTGATGATGATAGTTATGGTGGTAGTGATGGTGATGATGATGGTGATGGTGATGTTGATGGCGATGGTGTTGGATAAGGTGATAATGGTGGTGGTGGTGATGGTGATTATGTATGTGATGGTGATGTTGATGTTAATGAGGATGGTGATAGCGATGGAGATAGTGATGATGAGTGTGATGGTGATACTGACAGTGATTTGATGGTGATGATTTTGGTGATGGTCATGATGATGGTTATGGTGGTGGTGATGGTGATGATGTTGGTGGCGTTGATTTTGATATTGTTGGGGATGATGATAGCCATGGTGACGCTGATGGTGATGATGAGGGTGATGAAGAAGGTGATAGTGATGATTATAGTGATAGTGTTATATAGTTGATGGTGATATTGATGGTGTTGGTAATGGTGTTGGACAAGGTGATAATAATGGTGACATGATGATGATGGTGATGGGATTGGATAAGGTGATAGTGATGGTGATGATGGGGGTGATGGTGATGCTGATTGTGTTGATGATGATGATGGCTGTGGATAAGGTGATGGTGATGGTGATGATGTTGGTGATGGCGATGTTTATGGCAATGGTGATGGTGTTGGATAAGGTGATAGTGATGGTGATGGTGATGGTGTTGGATAAGGTGATAGTGATGGTGATGGTGATGGTGATGGTGATGATGAGAGTGATGAAGAATGTGATATTGATGATGATGGTGATATTGATATTTAGGTGAAGGCGATGGTGATTGTGATGGTGATGGTGATGGTGATGGTGCTGGATAAGATGATAGTGATAAGATGATGGTGTTCAATAAGATGATAGATGATGGTGATGGTGATGGTGATTGTTATGATGGTAGTGATGTTGATGATGTTGGTGATGGTGATGTTGATGGCGATGGTGTTGGATAAGGTGATAATGATGGTGGTGGTGATGGTTATGGTGGTAGTGATGGTGATGATGATGGTGATGGTGATGTTGATGGCGATGGTGTTGGATAAGGTGATAATGATGGTGGTGGTGATGGTGATTATGTATGTGATGGTGATGTTGATGTTAATGAGGATGGTGATAGCGATGGAGATAGTGATGATGAGTGTGATGGTGATACTGACAGTGATTTGATGGTGATGATTTTGGTGATGGTCATGATGATGGTTATGGTGGTGGTGATGGTGATGATGTTGGTGGCGTTGATTTTGATATTGTTGGGGATGATGATAGCCATGGTGACGCTGATGGTGATGATGAGGGTGATGAAGAAGGTGATAGTGATGATTATAGTGATAGTGTTATATAGTTGATGGTGATTTTGATGGTGTTGGTAATGGTGTTGGACAAGGTGATAATCATGGTGACATGATGATGATGGTGATGGGATTGGATAAGGTGATAGTGATGGTGATGATGAGGGTGATGGTGATGCTGATTGTGTTGATGATGATGATGGCTGTGGATAAGGTGATGGTGATGGTGATGATGTTGGTGATGGCGATGTTTATGGCAATGGTGATGGTGTTGGATAAGGTGATAGTGATGGTGATGGTGATATTGATATTTAGGTGAAGGCGATGGTGATTGTGATGGTGATGGTGATGGTGATGGTGCTGGATAAGATGATAGTGATAAGATGATGGTGTTCAATAAGATGATAGATGATGGTGATGGTGATGGTGATTGTTATGATGGTAGTGATGTTGATGATGTTGGTGATGGTGATGTTGATGGCGATGGTGTTGGATAAGGTGATAATGATGGTGGTGGTGATGGTTATGGTGGTAGTGATGGTGATGATGATGGTGATGGTGATGTTGATGGCGATGGTGTTGGATAAGGTGATAATGATGGTGGTGGTGATGGTGATTATGTATGTGATGGTGATGTTGATGTTAATGAGGATGGTGATAGCGATGGAGATAGTGATGATGAGTGTGATGGTGATACTGACAGTGATTTGATGGTGATGATTTTGGTGATGGTCATGATGATGGTTATGGTGGTGGTGATGGTGATGATGTTGGTGGCGTTGATTTTGATATTGTTGGGGATGATGATAGCCATGGTGACGCTGATGGTGATGATGAGAGTGATGAAGAATGTGATATTGATGATGATGGTGATATTGATATTTAGGTGAAGGCGATGGTGATTGTGATGGTGATGGTGATGGTGATGGTGCTGGATAAGATGATAGTGATAAGATGATGGTGTTCAATAAGATGATAGATGATGGTGATGGTGATGGTGATTGTTATGATGGTAGTGATGTTGATGATGTTGGTGATGGTGATGTTGATGGCGATGGTGTTGGATAAGGTGATAATGATGGTGGTGGTGATGGTTATGATGGTAGTGATTTTGATGATGTTGGTGATGGTGATGTTGATGGCGATGGTGTTGGATAAGGTGATAATGATGGTGATGATGATAGTTATGGTGGTAGTGATGGTGATGATGATGGTGATGGTGATGTTGATGGCGGTGGTGTTGGATAAGGTGATAATGATGGTGGTGGTGATGGTGATTATGTATGTGATGGTGATGTTGATGTTAATGAGGATGGTGATAGCGATGGAGATAGTGATTATTTGTTTATTATTTGTTTATTTGATTAAAATGTTTATTATTTGGTTCATTTTTCTGCCATTTCATTAGCAGAGACTTGGATATTTTCAATTTGCGAAGTTGTTGTTTGGATATTGTTTACCTATTGTAGTTCTAAATTTTATGTTTCTCTTATGTTCATAATAATTTTAGCTTGTTCTAGTTTGTCTACTAGTTTTCGGAAATCCAAGTCGGGTTCTCGAATTAATGATGGATGTGATGCTCTTTTTTGTAGCAGTTTTGCGTAATTGTTGTGTTAGAGTCATAATTAGGATTTCAGTCATTTTCGTCTTTTTGTGTTCATGTGTATTGAGGGAGTATGCTTTTCTTACTAAAGTTTCAACTCTTACTGCGAATTTTTTTTATTGTTTCGTCGGGGAGTATACAGATTTCGTTGCAGGACTCTTTGTTGTTGTTTGACATTTTTGGAATCAAACTTTTTTCAAAATCGTTGTGTGAATCTGTTCCAATCTGATTTAATTTCTCTAGGTAGAACTAAAAACCATTTTTGAGCTGCATCATCATGTAGAGTGTGGAACAAAACTGTACCTCTATCTGTACAATTTTGATGGAATGGTGTATTTACTGGTTCTTGGCCTATAGTTGAAATTAATTTTGCCCTAACTGCCTTTACTACTGAGTATTCAGGGTCTAGGCCTGTGAATATCATGAGTGGTTTATTAGAAGATATAGATGGTTCAGCCCTGAGGTATGGATTATTGTCGTTTGCAAGAATTCTGCTGCATTTGGTATCTGTGAAAAATTTAAAAGTTCGGTTTTTGTAATCTCATGTTGTTGCAGATAATATGGTAATGGAATTTCATTTTGCATTTGATTGGTTTGATAACTTTGTTGTCTGTACGGTTTTGTGATTGTATATTATTATATGTTGCTGAATTTTGTCTTTGAGGGAAAGATTGTCTTGTTTGTCGTGTTTGTTCGGAGTGCTTGTAGGGTTCAAAAATATCTGGTTGAAAACTATTATCTGGTTGATCAATATTTTTCCAGTTTTTTTTCATGGTTTATGGATATATTGTTGTTGATTTTGATTGAAACACAACAATTGAAGTAATTGTACTACCTTCAAAAAATTGTCCAAGGAATTTAACACGAAAGAAAATTAAATTTTACTTACCTGGGACTGCTTTCATCTTTTCCCTGAGTAAAAATGATAATTCCGTTACTTCTATAAACATTTCCTGCTTTGTTTGTGACTGTATGAAAACATCGTCCAATAAAGTTATAACGTTTTCGCTAAGAGAAAGTGGTAAAAAAATTGCTCATAAAGGCTAAAAATGCTGCTGATCCTATGGAAACTCCTTAGAATAGTCTAATAAATATGTTGGTTTTCAATAACAAATTTTGAAAGGGTTTCCCATAACAAAATTGTTCATCAAATGGTATCTAGTTGAATTCAATGTTCATATCAGCAGTGGTATAATATTGTCCGTTTATTTATGTGAGTAATAGTTGTATTGGTTCTATAGGCCAATTGCATTTATATTCAACAATTAAGGAGTTGAGGTATCTTGCGTGTAGGCAATTTTAAGTGATTCGCTTTTAGCGAGAATGATGACGAGATTGATTGAGGTGTTTCCTTTTTGCTTGTTGTTCTTTATTTACTGGCAATATGATTTCATATTGTTCAAGAATGTCTAGTAATTTGTTTACTTTATCTTGAAAGTGAATTGGTACCTTACTTGCTTGTTGATTTTAAAAAACTCTGTCAGGTTTAAAAGGGAGGTGTAATGGTCAATATATTTTTCCAACGTCAAATTTACATCTAGCGTAGACAATCGAGTTTTTTAATTATAGATCTGCTAACTGATCAAATTTTTGATGATTAAATTGAGAATGATGAAAATTGAACATTCTGAGAAATTTTTGTTGTTCAAATGTATATTTTTGAAATTGAGATTTGAAATGTAGCTTGAAATAAGATATTTTTTGTGAAATAATCCCTTGTTTGTTCACAATCATTTGTAATGTTAATAAAGATACTTCTTCATAAAGAACTGTTGTTCGACAAATATCCGGTAGCTTCAAAATATTTTTTACTCTAAATGCTCTTTTTTCTGTTTGGTTAAAGGTTGCATTTCTTTCTCAATATCCTAAAAGTCCTAAAAGCAACCTGTGATTTTATATGGCGAACTGCTGTATACGTGTAGAGATATTACATCTGAGTTTGTATCTGTGGCATAAAAATGGATGAAAATGTTACTCTAAAATAATAGGAATTGGTTTAATTTCATGGTCAGACTTTTTGTTTATTTTGAACAATTTTATATTGATGTAATTGACTGACTGAGAAGTCATATACATGTCCTGAAAGTGGTATCAAGTGTTTGCGTTGTTGATTATATATGGGTTAGATTTTTGAGAAAAAAGGAGGTTGTTTATTGATTCTTTGGAAAAATGTTAGTTTTGTTTTATTTATTGTTGTAGTATTGTCCTTTAGATGTAACTCAATATATATGATGTTGATAGTTGGGATGTATTTTGTAACCAGCGGTAGTCCAATGATATTGTGTTTTATTTCTGTTGGTGTGGAACAAGGTAGAATTTATAATGATTATCCTGCCTATTTGATCTGCTAGATGTCTTTTTTGAATTGTTTTGTGAAATTTTTCTGTCTGGTGATCTTCGGCAAAATTAAGTTTGATAAAGAGATTGTGGTCTGTAATTCTTTTAGCTATCTGGAAGTGGTTTTTCTGAGCTGTTGTAACTTTGAACTTTTTGTTGGGTAGATATTGATTATTTTCTTGGATTGGTAAAAAGATATAATTGGTTCTCCGTTCTTTTGTGGTTTATTTTGGTTATCCTGTTGTTATTGTCTGCATTCAGCATTGCTATGTCTATATGAATGAAAGATGGTTTACCTTTGAAATTTGGATTGTTTTCGTAAATGTTTAACAATTGAAAGATTTTTTCTGCATTTGGTATTTGTGAAAAGTTAAATGTTGGATCTGTGTAATCGCTTGGTGTTTCAGATAATATGGTAATGGAATTTCATTTTGCATTTGATTGGGTTGATAATTTTGAGTTGTGTGATGGTATATTTTTATTATATGATGCCGAATTTTGTCTTTGAGGGAAAGATTGTCTTGTTCGTCGTGTTTGTTTGGAGTGCATTTAGGGTTCAAAAGTATCTGGTTGATAATTATTATCTGGTAGATCAATATCATTCCAGTTATTATTTCGTTGTTTTTTAATTTATTGTTGCTGACTTTGATTGAAGTAGTCTTCATCTTCAGAATAGTATGGCTGATTTTTTGTGAATTGTTTGTTTGTGGGATTTCTGTTTTGTTGAGAAGATGGATAATTTTCACTACAGTCTGTTGCAGTTGTTTTTCATTAAAGACAACTGATTGAAGAGCTGGTTGTGGTATCTGTTTATTGTGTTTTTGTTTTTGTTATTGATTTATATGGCGGTTTGTCTAAGAAGGTTTTGTTATTGGTCTATTTAAGTTGCGAACAAAATCTTAATTCTGATTTGCAAAACTCTTCCTATTTGATTAATTTTGGTTGTTTGATTGTCGCGGCTTGGTTATTGGACTATATGATTGATGATCCACCTTAGAAAATTTTGGAACAACAGATGGTTTTACTGTTAATTGAATGGTGGTTTGTGGAAAAGGATTTTTTTTTATTATATGGTGTCGAAAGTGTTGAGTGAACAGGAGAAATACACTGTTGTGTTGATGTACGTATTTTTTCATCTACTTCCTCATTTGTAAAATGTGACAGGTTTTGTATATCTTGTTGTCTAAGATTTCTAGTTCCATTAAGGGTTTCTTGTGTATTTATAAATGTTGAGTTTAAACTATGATTTCCTGTTCTATCGTTAAGCATTGAGTTATAATTTAAGGGTGTTGCATCCATAGTGAGTGGGGTAACTCTTAACTAGTCTTTGTGTACAGAAACAATGGCGATTGCTGCAATCGAAATATCTCGATGATTTTTTTAGTATTTCTTTCGATACTAATACACTGTTGTAACTATAAATAATAGTGAAAACGTCGTTTGTAAAGATTAAGTTTGTTCTTTGTGAATTATGATGTTGTACATTTTTTATACATTCTGTAAGAACTTCTGTAAATTCTAGATCTGTGTCATCTGTTTGTTTTTGATGCGGTGTTTGATTTGCTTGTGATGGCAATAGTTCAATAGTGATTATTCCGTAATATGAAGTGATATTACAGATGCTTTTTAAATAGTGGTCAAGTATTTGTCTTTTAATTCTTACTTCGGTAAAATCCTGTTCACATGGGCTATTTCCTTTTTTGAATAAATTTGCAATTCAGTTATGACATATTCTAGCGGGATCATTTTGTGGTTGGATGACAAAAGAAAGTATAGAAACTTCGTCGAAATTTTCGTTTTATTGAATCACTTTTTTTATTTTAGTCCTGTTGTTGTGTAACCTTCATTATCTCTTATTGGTTGAATCCAATTTCATAGTCGTACTGGCTTACGGATATATAATTTTTTTTCTACGTTTACCTTTCATCGATGATGGTGTTGTGGATTCTGAATCACAAAAATTTTTTTGGTCGTTTTTTGGGTTGTTTTTATCTATTGACTCTTTTAGATCCTGAAATTCTTGTATTGTAGTTGTATCTGATTCCGGGGTTGCATTACGTCTTTTTGAAAATCTCAGTCTAATAATTTGCTTTTTTTTGCTTTGTTTGTCTTTTTCCGTGTTCGTCTTTTCGATCTAATATATCCTGTTATTTGTCTGTATGGTGTAATTACAAGATCGTATCTTTCGTTTTGAATTAAGAAATTGTGAAGAATTAGTGTTTATTTCCTGCCTAAATCAGCTCCTGGCATATGTTTGATGAAGGATGCAAAGCCCAGTAGTTAGAATTTTATTTTCTAAGCGGTTAGTTCTTAATTTTTGTGGGTTATTCTAATCTTGGGGCATAGATTGTCGAGGTTGACGGGTTGGAGAGAGTATATCAATTCGTTAGAATGATGTTTACTTTCTCGTGGCAAAGACTTATTTTAAGAAAATTGACTTCATCGTACTCAAGGGTTTGATTTGTGATCGAGCGTTTGAGAAAAGTAGATTAACCCACAAGGTTCCAGTATAATTAGAAAACAAGTAGATCGTTGGATACTATTTTGAGACTTACTAATTATAACAGTTTTAGCCCGGGTAATTTTAGCTTA